GTGCCTTTTGCCCGCAGCTGGCTGGGATTGGCTCCAGCCCCCCGTGACCCCGTTTGGGACTCAGCGGTTTAGAAAATGGATGGATAAAGTTGGAGCAACAGTATTTGTACCTCTGCAACAGATGTTTGTAGCAGCTATACTAACATTAGCTACAGTGAACAACACAAGTCATTACCATCATGTAGATAAGATATTGTATGTAAATTATCTTCTATAAAATCTAGCCAAGCCACAGTCAACTATGAATAGTTCAGTCTTCATTTTAACTGTTGGATGTTCAACATGTTTAGTCTGATGTTCTATGCTGAAGCCCAGAAGATGAATATTCTGAATTTTGTCTGGCCAGTCAGTGAAAACAGAGAAATGGGAGTTCAAGCTACACATGAACATTTGTTAGATGTCATGCATAACCCAGTCTGGATTCAGTGCTTGTGACATGAACAGGGAACACAGATCAAAGACAAAGATAAATACAGTGCCTTGCAAAAGTATTCATACCCTTTGAACTTTTCCCCATTTTGTCAAATTACAACCTCAAACTTACATGTATTTATTGGGAATTTAAGTGACAGACCAACACAAAGTATCACATAATTGTGAAGTGGAAGGAAAATGATACGTTGTGATCAAGATTTTTTACAAATAAAAATTTGAAAAGTGTGGCGTACATATGTATTCAGCCCCCTTTACTTTCATATCCTTAAATAAAATCCAGTGCAACCAACTGCCTTCAGAAATCACCTAATTAGTAAACAGAGTCCACCTGTGTGTAATTCACTCTCAGTATAAATCCAGCTGTTCTGTGAAGGCCTCAAAGGTTTGTTAGAGAACATTAGTGAACAAACAGCATCATGAAGACTAAGGAACACACCAGACAGATCAGGGATAAAGTTGTGGAGAAGTTTAAAGCAGGATTCGGTTATAAAAACATATCCCAAGCTTTGAACATCTCACTGAGCACTGTTCAATCCATCATCTGAAAATGGAAAGCATATGGCACAACTGCAAACCTACCAAGACATGGCCGTCCACCTAAACTGACAGGCTGAGCAAGGAGAGCATTAATCAGAGGAGCAACCAAGAGGCCCATGGTAACTCTGGAGGAGCTGCAGAGATCCACAGCTCAGGTGGGAAAATCTGTCTACAGGACAACTATTAGTTGTGCACTCCACAAATCTGGCTTTTATGGAAGAGTGGCAGGAAGAAAGCCATTGTTGAAAGAAAGCAATAAGAAGTCCCATTTGCATTTTGACACAAGCCATGTAGGGGAAACAGCAAACATGTGGAAGAAGGTGCTCTGGCTAAATTGAACTTTTTGGTCTACATGCAAAACGCTATGTGTGGCAGAAACCTAACACTGCACCATCAACCTGAACACACCATCCCCATCATGAAACATGGTGGTAGCAGCATCATGTAGTGGGGATGCTTTTCTTCAGCAGGGATAGGGAAGCTGGTCAGAGTTGATGGGAAGATGGATGGAGCTAAATACTGGGCAATCCTGGAAGAAAACCTGTTAGAAGCTGAAAAAGACTTGGGACTGAGGCGAAGGTTCACCTTCCAGCAGGACAACGACCCTAAACATACAGCCAGAGCTACAATGGAATAGTTTAGATCAAAGCATATTCATGTGTTAGAATGGCCCAGGCAAAGTTCAGACCTAAATCCTACTGAGAATCTGTGGCAAGACTTGAAAACTGCTCTTCCCAGATGCTCTCCATCCAATGTGATGGAACTGGAGCTACTTTGCAAAGAAGAATGGGCAAAAATTGCAGTCTCTAGATGTGCAAAGCTGGTAGAGACATACCCAAAAAGACTTGCAGCTGTAATTGCAGCGAAAAGTGCTTTGACAAAGTATTGACTCAAGGGGGCTGAACACATATGTACGCCACACTTTTAATATTTTTATTTGTAAAAAAATCTTGACCATGTATTTTCCTTCCACTTCACAATTATGTGATACTTTGTGTTGTGTTGGTCTATCACATAAAATCCCAATACTATACATTTAGATTTGTGGTTGTATTGTGACAAAATGTGGAAAGGTTCAAGGAGTATGAATACTTTTGCAAGGCACCTCAAGTATAAGAAGTAGTCCCTTGCCTTCCTCATCCTCACTCTCCTCTTCAGACTCATCTTCCTCTTCATTCCCTTCTGCTCCTCCCGCCTCCTCCTCCTCTTCCTCCGAGTCAGATTCTTCAAGCCACTCCTGTGTCTCTGTAGACAAAGAATCATAAATTCAAATAAACCCTCACACCCTCCCATCTTATCATCACTCCAACTCCTCTCCTACTCCAGAGAATCCTTAAACCTGACACATCCGCATGCACTGGCTGCCTTCAGGCTGACACTGATTATATCTCACATCATTTTGTCTGTGTGTATTACTTTGTCTTTATGACTTGCTGACTCACTTGGGTCCATTTCAGCCAGAACCTCCCACTGATCCATCTTGGGCAGGTCCAGGCAGTAAAAGTCATTCAGGGTGAACTGGCGGTCGCCAACCTCAAACATCCCCCCATAGAGGAAGAGCTTGCCCTGACGCACCGTTGCCATGGCGCTGGACCGCGGGCAGGGCTCCACCAGGGGGGCTGAAGCCGAAGCTGAGGAGATAAAATCTACATCTGAATCTTAAATTTGTGTAAAAGTCTGACTCTGAACGTAAAGAGACCAAAAATATGGGACTGCCCAACTTTTTAATATATTTTTCACATTTTAAATTAGTTAAAGTGCGTGTAATCTTGCCATCATCCTCTTCTTCTTCCCCGTCCTGCCCCTCCTCTTCCTCTGTTGCTCCAGGGATTACTTCCTTGATGATCATCAGTGTGCCGTCCTCGGTGACGATCTCCTTGATGACTTCAGTGGGTCCTTCAGGTGCTACCTTGTCCCTCTCCTCCTCCTTCTCTGCGCACTCCCTCTCTACTCCACCCTTCTTCCCTCTTTGTCGTTTCTTCTTCTCTGTCTTGCTTCCCTGAGCAACAGAATAATCAAGTATCAGTGGCATGGATGTATGTGGGAAGCATTTATCAAAAGTCAGATGCCACCTAACAATATGCAGTCAAAAGTCTGTATTTTTGAAAACATTTATTTGATAAAGTGTCTAAATGCACAAACTGGCAGTGTTTTTCCTCTGTATAACTGCAGTACACTGCGTGCTTCCTTTAACCCTTTACCCAGCATAACCTCCTGGTTTCACGCATCCATCTTATCCATCCTATTCTGCACATAATTGCACGTTGACTGACTGCTGCACATGCTGCTCCCATGCAGCATACATTCTCTTATTATATTCTTATATATTTTTATTATATTGCTGCATTTGCTGCTTAAAGTGCCTTAGATTTAGTGTTACTTATTTATCTACTTTATATTTCATTTGTATTTTGTGGCATTCATGTGGACGGCAAAGTAAGAATTTCATTGTACAGGGAAACACGTTTCCTAACTGTGCATATGACAAATAAACACTTTGAACTCTTGAACTATTTTGTTTTTCTATTGTATTTTCTCTCTGTCGGTCTCTGTTTAGAGGAGGGAGGGGCTGCACCCCTCTCACACATGCAGTCAGCTGTGCATTTACACACGGTGCTTGTAATGCTAATGCTTGAGGTGCGAAGACACAGAGACACACACAGCTGAGCAGAGGATCACTCCACAGTGCATAACTTCACACATATAGTAGTTTAAAGTAACCGCTTTTGTTACAGGAAGTAATTTTGGTTCTGACTGATATCTCTTCATCTCATTACAGCTGTCTGGCAGTTCCTTCAACACACACTGACCACTGGTTAGTGTCGTGTTATGCTCAAGAACTAGCTTGCAAGCTGTGTTGTCTGACCCCGCCAGAAATGAAAGTGTTTAGTGTTGTTCCAAACAGCCACACTGGAAGGAGTAAAAAGCTGGCTATCATAGGGAGGGGGAGACTTTGTATTAACCCCACACATTGTCAGTCTCTCCTTTATCTAAACAACTGATCAATTACCAGAACTGCTTGCTATTAATTTTCTGTCAGTTGACTAATAAATCAAGTTACAAATCAACTAGCTGTTTCAGCTTTAAAGGGTAACAATGCCAGGAAAATCTGTGTTTCACTGCCCTCTCTAGTCCAAAGCCTGTTGCACATGTAACCACAATTAGCAGTGACGTCACAGTGTACTGACACACCCCTGAGTGCACCCCTACATCACTGCAGCAAGATAAGAAGTTAAACCACTGAAAAACAAGATATTCTGAGAGTTTTATGATCTTCTTTAAATTAAAGAGTTGGAAAGCTGCACAAACTGGTCCCATCAAACTGCTGGAGGTGCACAAGTATGAAACAAGCCACTCTAAACTGAGTAAACTAGAAACAACTGTGAAAAACTAAATCTGACCAGCAAAGATAGCTTATGGAACAAGCAGGATTTAGATTGTGTCTGATCAGTTGCAATGGTGCAAAAATCAGCCAGCAAGTTCCAAACAATTCATTCTTTAACTGGAGAGCACAAGGACACAAACAGAGGAAATTAACCATACAAGGAAATTAATATGTTTACACAGAGGGGCAGCATTCATGTGTTATTTTTCCATAGATATATGATCATGCTTTGGGGGCTCATGTATAACATGACTAAAGCCGATGAGCTACTATTGTAATATTCCTCAACCACATGCAATTCACTCACACAAACTTTCCAAGCAGTCACTTGTGCAGCAGTTAAATCACAGCCTGGGAGCTTACCCTGAGCAGGCCAGGGAACCAGCGGTTCTTCACTGTGTCATACAAATACAGGTCATTGTAGAAGTTGCCCTCCAGTGACTCTTCCTCTTCCTCATCACAAACCCCGCCAAACAGCACGGCCCGCCCCGCTGGTCCCACTGCCAGGGAGAATCCTGAACGAGGAGGGGGCTTGTTACCTGAGGGGTTCACCCTCGACCACGACCATTTCTCTGGACAAGGAAACAGCCAAGACAATCCACAAGAAATAGGCAGAATGAGAGTAGCTGATGACTTCTACGATGAAAAAAATTATAAATGCAACACTTTTGTGTTTGCCCACATTTTTCACGAGCTGAACTCAGATTTATGACTTTTTCTATGTACACCAAAGGCCTATTTCTCTCAAATATTGTTCACAAATCTGTCTAAATCTGTGTTAGTGAGCACTTCTCCTTTGCCGAGATACTGTACTGGGGGGTCTGAAAAACAGTCAGTATCTGGTGTGACCACCATTTGCCTCACGCAGTGCAGTACATCTCCTTCGAAACTAGCCATAGGGGCTGAATCTAGCCACAGGGGTTGCAAGCCAGTGACTTCTGTGCCGGTCCCAAGCCCGGATAAATAAAGAGGGTTACGTCAGGAAGGGCATCCGGCGTAAAAACATGCCAAATTTAGACATGCGAATCATT